GCCCCCCCCCCCCCCCTGAGACTGGTGGCCAGCAGGCAATCTTTGTCTTGCTCAAAGGGCTGCTGCTCATCACTGCCCTCACCGCATCACTTGGGATACAAACAGTCCATTTTAATCTCTACCACTTAAATTTCTACTCTCCCGCCTCCCAGACATTCATTTCATATTTAGGGGATTCGTACCCACAACTCAGAAGCTTTCTTATGCAACAGCTCACGAGAAGCGACTTAATTTAAATGCTTTACTTATGTACAAGCAAGTTATGAAACATGAATACTTAATATAAAAGTCAATGAAAACTTTAATACTTTTATGCTGAATAGCATTTACAAAAATGAAAATAACTTTTAAGGGCATCACAAAAGCACGTAAGAAGGTTTAAGGTATTGTCTGCTTTGGGGCCTTGGCAGTGTCATGATTCCAGGCCTCTTGCCGGCTCCGGGCTGGCCAGGAATAATACAGGAAGTAGAATTTTTAGAACCAGCCGAAGTGCTTTTGCAGGCTTTGTAACTCCTAGGAAGAGAGAAGAACAAACAGGCTATTAGAGCATCTTCATATATCTTGTTTCAAAAGATCACAGGGGCTTCTGTCAGACAGTTTAGTTAAATGGTCATTTGCAGACGGAGAAAGGAAACATTTACATAGCGACACCAGCAGAGAGACTCCTTTTCCCATCACCTTTTCTGAATCCTCAGTGCTCAGGGGGTGTTTATACCTCTGTGGCTCTTACAATGGGGAGGCGGGGTGGGGGTGGGGGTGGAAGGAGAGGCACAGCCAGTCAGTGGCCGAGTTAAAGAATTCCGAAGTGATTGCCAATGACAGAATTCAACTCACAGGCCTACTAGTGGATATCTCCAAGGAACTTTTCATGATGTAATAGTTAAAAGGTGCTTCATTAGCACTATGTCACAGTTTGATTCAACCTTTATGAAGAATCGAAAAATGTACCTCTTAGAATAAGCCTGCTGTCCCCCAGATCCTTTTTTTTTCTTCGATTCCCTAAAAAAATTAGACTTCTTCCTCTTCCTTCCCTTGCCATTTTTGGTTTGGAAATAGTGGGACGTCGTATTCGTTGCTTCTTCCTCATCTTCACTATCACATCTGCTAAAGTCAGTCTCTGTGGCTGCAAGAGGCTTGTTTTCCGCTGCAGAGAAAAACCCAGTATTCCTTAATACAAACTTTTTTCTTAGTTCGGACAGCATTTCTGCATTAGGGGTCCCATTTGCATGACTGCCACCAAAATACTTGAGGAGCTTGTCTAGACCAAAGCAACTGAGGTGTGTTAGTGATAAGGAAGGAAAAAAGTCAACAGGACAGAAATTAACGTTTTAGCACGATTCTGTGGCAATGTGACCAGCCAATGCATTAAGTAAATGAAGCTATTTAAATACCTGGTAGTATCTTTGAACAATACTTCTGCATCACTTCTATTATTTCTGCTCCATATTTCTCTAATTTGTCTTCTGTCACACCATCAATCCGAAGCAAAACTGCTGGATCTGAAGACAAAGTCTCTGAAAAAAAAAAAAAAGAATCTCAATACAGCTTTTTTGGCATCCGCAATACCAAACTGGCTTGTCATCCCTATCTTCCAAGAACTTTTTTTTAACTTCCCAGTTTAGGCTACAGTACAATGTCTCGCTTCCAAGTCTAACCAACCAACCCTCCTGGCTTAGCTTTTTTGAGATCAGCCAAGAGCTGCTAGATGTTGGCCACCTGCTGTAAAGGGCTCCCTGTTGACATCACGGAACATCCTTGTTACTCCACTACAACACAGAAAAGCCTTGCCATTTCTGCCTTCAGGGGTGTGATTTCCAACACCCTGTCAGGACTCAGTGACATCGAAAGTTTGACTGACTTTTTCATCACCCTGATATTGCCTGAAGGTCATTAGACAGAGATGAAGAAATCTGCATGAAAAGGAGCTATAGAAACAGGGCACTTTGAAAGCTGGAAAATCTGGAGACAGACAAATTTTACAACTCTTTCAGCATCCTACCAAGTAACAGATTTTTAAATGCCGTCAGGTACCATGGCCTTTTCTTATGTAATTCAAACTTATGCAGAGAAAACAAGTGAGAAAAAAGGTGGAGATGGCAAATAAAGGAAGATAAAATACTGAGGATTGCTATTTGAACAAGTGTTGCATTTGTCGTACATAAGCTGAGCATTGCACTGAAGTGTTGGAAATTGTACATTTGGCATGTCAGTGACTTTGATAATGACAACA